CGCCGCCGCCCCTCCCAGTCCTCCCAGCTCCGCTTCCCGTCCGCGCCCGCAGCACCGCAGGCCTGTGGGCCCCGCCCCTTAAAGGGACCACGCCGGAAAGGGCTGAGGACCCTGCCCGGAAGTCCCCTCCCCTCTTAGGCCCCGGCAGATCTTGGAGATCGGGCTTGGGGAGGTTGAAGAGGTTGGAGACTCCTGGCTCTGTTTTGGGATGTCCCTTCCAAATGACCATTCATTCCTGCTCTCTTCTTTTAAATCCTCCCCCCCCCCCCGTCCCTGCCCCGTGCTGGGGATTGAACCCAGGGCCTTCACACTGAACTATATACCCAGCCCTTTTAATTTTTTTTTTCTTTTCACACAGGGTCTTGCTAAGTTGCCCAGGCTGGGCTTGAATTTGCAATCCTCCTGCCTCAGCCTCCAGAGTGCTGGGACCACAGACATGTCCCACCACATCCACCTCATGCTTTCATTATTCCACAAGCATTGCCTATAGCCACCGCCTGTGGGCTCAGGATCCCTGCCTTCTGTGGGAACTCAGCCACACCAAGTGGGCACAGTCAGAACCAGGTGCTGATGGCCTTTCTTAGTTTCCTAGGCCAGGGCTTGCACAGAACAAAGAAACTGATCTTGTAGCTAGGGCTTCCGGAGATGTGTAGGAGTTCGCCAGGTGTGGGTGTGGGGCAGGAGCAGAGGAGACAGAAGTTACACCATTCAGAGCCTTGGAGGTGGCAGACACGTGAGACACATCGGGAGCACTGCGGGCTGGTCTGGGAATAGATTTATTCTGCTCCATCAGCCCATGGAACCCTTTTCCTGGGCAGTGAGCAGGCCGTCTCCGGAAGCATACAAAGCAGATCAGGACAGGGGCCGGCAAGGCCCAGGAGTCAGAATCAGCTGCTGCTGCTGCTGCTACTGACCAGGGCGCTGTCAGGCCTCAGTCTGGGCCAGCTGCTCTGCCCGCCTTTGAACCCCAGAAGACTCCAATTTAAGGGGTTGAACAAAGCAGGAAATATCTCTAAATCCACGGAGCCACGTTGGGGCCCCGGCCCAGCAGGCTGGGAGGTGGGAGGTGGGGGCAGTTCATACTCTCAGCACCAGGGGGTGCCGAGAAACAGTTTCTGTATAAGAAAACAATCCCAGCCTTTGGAGATCTAGTTTACCCTCTGGCTAACTGCTCACACATGGGTGGTGCAGCAGCTGCGCTTTGGCATCAGGAGCTAAAAACCCTTAAGGGCAGAGCCTGTGTGCCCGTGCACGCCTGTCATCCCAGCACTCTGGAAGGCTGAGGCAGGAGGATCTCAGCTGGAGCTCAGATTGGGCAATTTAATGATTTAGCAAGACCCTGCCTCAGAAAAAAAGGGGCGGGGGCCAAGGATGTAGTTTAATGTACAAGCACTGAGTCCAATCCCTACCACTGCTAAAGCCCTTTGCATCAAAGCTGGTGAAAGACACCCTGTCCCGGGATCCTGAGGGCAGGCCCATCTCTTTCTCCCGAAGAGCCCTGATCCATCTTCTCCAAACGATACACACAGACCTCTTGATCACCTCCTTACCGAAGGTAGAAGACTTCTACCAGCCAGATGAAAGTGGCCTGGTCAAAACTGCAACTGCTGCCCGGGCGGGTGGCCAGTCCTTGGGAGGCTGAGGCAGGAGGATGGCCACGAGTTTAAGGCCAGCCTGCGCCACATAGGGAGACCCTGTCTCAAGAAAAGAAAAAGTGCAACTGTAGTTTTAAACACAGTTCTGGTGTTCCTGGGAAACCTACAGGGGCTAGACGATCCCCCCAAAAAGAACCCTAAGGACTCTGCCTCTCCCGGGCGGGGTCTGCCTCTCCGGGACGCTGGCCGGTCAGTCTCGATCCGAGCGGGCCCTGGCCGGCCCTGCCCTCCTCCGCCCCGGTGTTCAGGGCCCTGTGTCCGCGCCCCGA